CTTCTCTCCATGCGGGACTTCTCTTTTGGAGAGAATCAGATCTGTTGAATGTCATGTGGCAGGCAGATGCTTCTCTCCACTGTGGCAGAAAAGAGCCCAAGTTATAGCTGCATTGGGGGCTGGGGGGCTTGAGTGGAAGTGTGGGGGTGGGAGAAGGACACTCTGCTTCAGCCCCAGGCCTGTTCCATGTGTCCTTGTTCCCATTCCAGATACCCACCCCAACCCCCAGCATATAGCAACTACACAGTGTCCTTGATGTAGATCGATAGCTCGTCCCAAGCCCCAGTCAATTTCTGTGGTATAGCTCTTGCCTTTCAGGGGAAGACTAACAAATGGGCACATACAGGCCCCAAGGTGGGCAACTGGGGTGTTGTCTTACGTTTTTTTTTTTTTTTTTTGGCTCCTAAAGGGGATGTGTGTGTAATTTGTACTTTCTTGTTTTCCCTTCTTATCCTGAACCCCCCAAGTTCTAGTTCCCGTCTCTGAGAAACGTACCCACACTCAAGAACCAGAAGCTGGAGGAAGAGAGGCTGGGAAAGACACTAGCAGGAATGAAAAGGACTTTAGTGTTTGGGCAGTAGAAGAACAGAGAGGCAGACTGGGAATATGGATGCAGGAGAGGAGCAGCTGTCTTGGAAGGAGATTTTGTATGGCATACTTAGGTAGAAACATCAGATGGCCTTTGATGAAAGCCGTTTAGCTGTCCTGGAAATATCTACTATGCAGCCATTTCAAACAGGACTGAGCCCCTCTGAGCCAGAGGAGCTGTATATAGCATTAGCCACAGAGGGAAGAGGGGCCGAATGGGGATGATGGGGTGATGTTATGAGAGCAGACAGAATAGACAGGATCAGAGGAGATGGGCTCTGTAGGGGGCCGACCTGCCAATACTAGAGCCAGCCTGGCACTGACAAGCCCTGGGGGAAGAGGCCAAGGTCAGGGATCAAGGCAGAGGGGATGGGGCCTTCAGTGGGTTCAAATGAACAGAGGAAAGAAGAATAGAAAAATAGAAGGGGTTGGTGAAGGAATCTGCCTGAGGTAAGGGGAGGCCAGGTAATGGAAAGGAAATAAGGAAAAAATCTATCATAGGAGCAATAAATCATAATTATGGGTTACCATTTATTGGACATTTTGTGCTACTTACTGCTAAGTGCTTTATTTAATCCCTACAGCAACCCAGTGAATTAGGCATTGTTTCCCTTTTTACATACAGCATAAGGAACTGTAACCCAGAAAATTAAAATAACTTGCACAAGACCACGCAGTCAGTAAGTGACAGAGCCAGCACTGAAACCCAGATCTGTCCAGTGTTAAAGTCTGTTCTCCTAATGCCAGGCTATACTGCCTGGCAGTATATGGGGGAGGATTTAAAAAATGAAGGTGCAGGCCGGGCGTGGTGGCTCACACCTATAATCCCAGCACTTTGGGAGGCTGAGGTGGGCAGAAACCAGACTGGCCAATATGGTAAAACCTCATCTCTACTAAAAATATAAAAATTTGCTTGGCGTGGTGGCCGGTGCTTGTAGTCCTAGCTCCTCCGGAGGCTGAGGCAGGAGAATCGCTTGAACTTGGGAGGCAGAAGTTGCAGTGAGCTGAGATTGTGCCACTACACTCCAGCCTGGGTGACAGAATGAGACTCTGTCTTAAAAAAAAAAAAAAAAATAGCCGAGTGTGATGGCAGGCACCTGTAGACCCAGCTATTTGGGAGGATGAGGCAAGAGAATCACTTGAACTGGGAGGGCGGAGGTTGCAGTGAGCTGAGATTGCACCACTGCACTCCAGCCTAGGTGAAAGAGGGAGACTCCACCTAAAAAAAGAAAAACAAAAAAGGTGCAGCCAACTATTTGGCTCATGCTGAGGCAGAGGATCGCTTGAGCCCAGGGGTTTGAGACCAGCCTGAGCAACATAGTGAGACCCCATCTCTACAAAAAAATAGCCAGGTGTGGTTGCATGTGCCTGTGGTTCCAGCTACTCAGGAGGATGAGGATGGGGGATTGCTTGAGCCCAGGAGGCTGAGCCTGCAATGAGCCATGATTGTACTACTGCACTCCAGCCTAGGCAAAGAGCAAGACCTTGTCTCAAAAAAAAAAAAAAAAAAAAAAAAACAAAAACAAAACAAAACAAAAAAAAAACAACAACCAAAAAACTGAAGGTGAGATGAAACTTCAGAAAATAGAGGGTGGGGGAGGACACAGGCAGACATAGGAATGGATGACTCAGTCTCAGGTTTCTGGGTCAAATCCAGGTCACATGTATGGTTTTGTATCCTATGAAATTTATACCGGCCAGTTGCAGTGGCTCACACCTGTAATCCCAGCACTTTGGGAGGCTGAGGTGGGCAGATCACGAGGTCAAGAGATCAAGACCATCCTGGCCAACATGGTGAAACCCCATCTCTACTAAAAATACAAAAATTGCCGAGCGCGGTGGCTCACGCCTGTAATCCCAACACTTTGAGAGGCCGAGGCGGGTGGATCACGAAGTCAAGAGATCGAGACCATCCTCGTCAACATGGTGAAACCCCGTCTCTACTAAAAATACAAAAAATTAGCTGGGCATGGTGGTGCATGCCTGTAATCCCAGCTACTCAGGAGGCTGAGGCAGGAGAATTGCCTGAACCCAGGAGTCGGAGGTTGTGGTGAGCCGAGATCGCACCATTGCACTCCAGCCTGGGTAACAAGAGCAAAAACTCCGCCACAAAAAAAAAAAAGAAAAAAAAAAAAAAGAGCTTCAAAAAGTATACAAAGAACTGGGTGTTTGCTAAATGGCATCTTAAAAAAAAAAAATTAGCTGGGCATGGTGGTGTGCACCTGTAGTCCCAGCTACTAGGGAGGCTGAGGCAGGAGAATTGCTTGAAACCGGGAGGCGGAGGTTGCAATGAGCCAAGGTCGCACCACTGAACTCCAGCCTGGTGCCTGGCGGCAAAGCAAAACTCTGTCTCAAAAACAAAATAAAACTTATACCATACTTGTTACTTATTCAGTGCCTGGCTCTCCAACTAGGCTGTGAATTCCACATCATTTGATACGAGCATTCATGAGTAGTTATTGATGAAAGAGGGTTTGGGAAGCAGAGGTGATGGAAACTGGGGGTTGCATGGATATGTAGCACAGAGAGAGGAATGGGCATGGGTGGAGAGTGGTATTTGATAAGAGGCCTGGCCTAGAGGCCTGCAAGCAACTTCTGAAGGACCTGGGTCACAGAGAAATCTCCTGAGGGAGAACATGGAGGATACCAGCTGTGTGCCAAGCACTGGGCTTGCCCTGTATTGCTATATACATTATCTTAATTATTCAAATGATCCTATGAGATGGGCATTATTGTCCTAATTTTCACAAGAGGACATTTTTTTTTTCTTAGATGGAGTCTTGCTCTGTCACCCAGGCTGGAGCGAAACGGCACGATCTCAGCTCACTGTAACCTCCACCTCCTGGGTTCAAGCAATTTTCCTGCCTCAGCCTCCCAAGTAGCTGGGACTACAGGGGCGCGCCACCACACCTGGCTAATTTTTGTATTTTTAGTAGAGCCAGGGTTTCACCATATTGGCCAGGCTGGTCTTGAACTCCTGACCTCAGGTTACCTGCCTGCCTTGGTCTCCCAAAGTGCTGGGATTACAGATGTGAGCCACCGCACCTGGCCCGGTGGTGGAAACTGAGGCCAGAGGAAGCTAATCACTTTCAGAGGAAACTGAGGCCAGGTAAGCTAATCACTTCCACATGATGACACAAGAATTAAAGAGGTGAAGCCAGAATTTGAACCCACACCTGACTCCAAAGCCTGTGCTCTTATTTTTATACTATACTGCCTCTTGATCAGTGGGATGTGTAGGGGCAGAGGAAGAAACCTGACAGCTAGAAGTAAAATGGGGTGTTCAGTAGGAGACTGAATAGAGACAGATGGAGACAGACTTGGGTTGGAGGGAAGGGTATGAGTTTTGCAGTGAAGACCTAGGCACATAGAGTTGAGGTCAGGAAAAGATCATGTGGACAGGATGAGTGACCAGTGAGGATGCCAACAGCAAGGTGAGAGCACAGGGCAAAGTAATGTATAATGGCACTTACATCAGGGAGCGATGGTGTGTTCAGGGAGTGTATTCAGGGACTGATAGTATATTCCTGCAGCTGTCACTGGCTGTGAAATGGGGGTCTCTCTAGCTTGGGATGTCATTCACATGTAAAGTAGACCGTTTTTATTTTTGAGACGGAGTCTTGCTGTCACCCAGGCTGTAGTGCAATAGCACAATCTCAGCTCACTGCAACCTCTGCCTCCCAGCTTCAAGTGATTCCCCTGCCTCACCCTCCCGAGTAGCTGGGATTATCGGTGCCTGCCACCACACCTGGCTAATTTCTTGTACTTTTAGTAGAGACGGGGTTTCACCATGTTGGCCATGGCTGACCAGGCTGGTCTTGAACTTCTGACCTCAGGTGATCCACCCATCTCAGCCTGCCAAAGTGCTGGGGTTACCAGGTATGAGCCACCACACCCAGCCTGTAAAGTGGACCCTTGTAGGTAAAGTTGTCTATGGGCTTCATATGACAGACACACACGGTCAATCTGTATGTTTCAGTATTTTTCAGACTTTCAAGTGCCTTTATTTTGACTGCTCTTTCCAGCCCCCTACAAATCCCATCACTCCTAATTCCTTAGAAATGCCACATTACCTGCCTGACCCCTGGAGACATTTAAGTTTGGAACCCTTTCACTTGGCATAGGTGGGAATTCAGGCCCAGAGGAAAGAGACTTGTCCAAAATTTCGCAATAACTGGCTGACTGAAAATCCAAAATGCAGCCCTCCTGTCATGCAAGCACCACAGTGCCTTTAGCTAGCTTAATAGCCACATTCAGAGCAATTTATCCAAGTATACAGAAAAGATAAGTGAAAGTGATATCTGAGAGGTGGTGAACAAAATCCAGGAAGTTAAGATTATAGTAGCTGAAAAATAAACACTTTCGAGACAAATCAAGATTTAGACCTGAAAGAATGAGCCCAGTGGTCTAAGTTTGAGCCTTTAAGAACTCATTTTATTTGTTATACAAAATCAGGATTCTCAACTCACTTTGTCCGCCCCTCCTCACCCCTGCCCTCTTACGTCAACACAGTAAATCCCACTCTGACCACAAGGCGTCACTCTTGTTTTTACCGTTGTTTCATAGATTGCTTCCCAAACAGCAGCAAGGGATTAACAAAAGTGAAGTGAGAGTGGGAGCACTGTCTTAAGTCCAAGGCAGATAGCGAGATCCAGGTATGTTTTGGGAGGGAGGTTCAAGGTGGTAGAGGCTCTAGAAGGCTAGGTTAGCAGGCATATTGAGAAAGGAAGAACGTTGTTTCGGATGCCATCACAATCTCTCTACATAAAAAGCTTTGCCTATCTGATTTAATTCCCGCTGGTACTGCTGATACTCCTTTTCAAACAGCTGGTGCAGGGCAGCTTGGCGAACCTGGTAGGGAGGACAGAATAGAGTATGGTGTTTGCTTCTGTTTACCACCCTTTCTTATTCTTTCTCCCTAGTTGCTTTCCCATTACTTGTGTTCTCTTGGAGCTGGACTTAGTTGTGACATAAGGCTAGGTGGTAGCAGAGACTGAACCAGTGGAGGGGAAACCTATCCAATTTTTTTCTCCACGGTTGAAGCCCTATGTTTGGCAAATATTTGCTGAGAACCTACCATGAACCAGAAACTCTTATTAGGCAACTGGGATACAAAGATGGTTACATACTGGGCGCGGTGGCTCACACCTGTAATCCCAGCAGTTTGGGAGGCCGTGGCAGGCGGGTCACAATGTCAGGAGATGGAGATCATACTGGCTAACATGGTGAAAACCCATCTCTACTAAAAATGCAAAAAATTAGCCAGGCATGCTGGCACGTGCCTGTAGTCCTAGCTACTCAGGACTACTTGAGACTGAGGCAGTAGAATCGCTTGAACCCAGGAGGTGGAGGTTGCAGTAAGCCGAGATCATGCCACTGCACTCCAGCCTGGGTAAGAGTGAGACTGCATATCAAAAACAAAAACAAAAAGACAAAGATGATTACTGACAGCAAGTTGGGACCCCGGAAGAGAGAGAGATACGCACTAAGAGGCAGTTTGTGTTTTTTTTTTTTTTGAGATGGAGTTTCGCTCTTGTTACCCAGGCTGGAGTGCAATGGCGCGATCTCGGCTCACCGCAACCTCCGCCTCCTGGGTTCAGGCAATTCTCCTGTCTCAGCCTCCTGAGTAGCTGGGATTACAGGCACGCGCCACCATGCCCAGCTAATTTTTTGTATCTTTAGTAGAGACGGGGTTTCACCATGTTGACCAGGATGGTCTCGATCTATCGACCTCGTGATCCACCCGCCTCGGCCTCCCAAAGTGCTGGGATTACAGGCTTGAGCCACCGCGCCCGGCCTTGTTTGTTTGTTTTTGAGACTGAGTCTTACTCTGTCACCCAGGCTGGAGTGCAGTGGCACAATCTCAGCTCACTGCAACCTCTGCCTTGGGTCAAGCGGTTCTCATGCCTCAGCTTCCCAAGTAGCTGGGATTATAGGCATGTGCTGCCACGCCTAGCCAATTTTTGTGTTTTTAGTAGAGGTGGGGTTTCTCCATGTTGGCCAAGCTGGTCTCAAACTCCTGGGCTCAAGCAATCTGCCCGTCTTGGTCTCCCAAAGTGCTGGGATTACAGGCGTGAGCCAGGCACCCAGCCTAAGATGCAGTTTTGAGTTTCCAAGATGAAAGGAGCAGGAACTAGAGTATACTTTGGGACTTTAAGATGTGCTGCCTATAAGGTGGATGCAAAGAATCAAATGAAAAAGAGTTCTGGCAACAGGGTTAGAGTTATGTTGCTCTGGTGTAAAGCTGAAAACCTAGAGGCAAACGAGATAAATGTGCAATGACACACACTAAGAGCTCGGAAAACTCAGTGGGCAAACGCACAGGGCAGTAATGAATGAGGCTTCAGGCTGCCCTGCTAGAACTCACCCTTAGTAGTTGCTTTTTGGCCAGTGCCAATTCTTGTGCCATGGTGTCCTGCATCTTTAGGGTGGCATATGGGTTTCTTCTCTGGGCCAATGTCATTTGCCACAGACAGTCAGTATGTGCATTTCGCCACCTGCTCCAGGTGGGCAGAGGTTGAATGGGTTAGATTAGGAGGCAAGACAAAAACCCCATAGAGTGAGGCTGTCCTGGAACGTCTGTCCTACTGTCAGAAGACTGTAAAATCCTTAAAAGGGTAATTTAGAACCTAGTATGTATTAAGTACATTATATCATTTAATCACTATGATAACTATGTGGCATAGGCATTAATTTTTACCTAATACAGATAAGGAAACTAAAAGTTGTGAGATGCCCAAGGTCACTTAATGGCAGACCTGGGTCTCAAATCCAGAGTTTCATTCTGTCATCTAGGCTGGCATGCAGTGGTGTGATCTTGGCTCATTGCAATCTGCCTCCAGGGTTCAAGCAATCCTCCTGCCTTGGCCTCTTGAGTAGCTGGGACTACAGGCATGCTCCACCATGTCTGGCTAATTTTTGTATTTTTAGTAGCAATAGGGTTTTGCCGTGTTGGCCAGGATGGTGTCCAACTCCTGACCTCAGGTAATCCACCTACCTTGGTATACCAAAGTGCTGGGATTGCAGGTGTGAGCCATCACACCCGGCCTCAAATCCAATTTCTCTAAAGCTAATATCCCTTCTATCATACTAGTGATTCTCAGCCCTGGCTAGACTGGAATCTTCATTGAGGTTTTAATTTTTTTTTTTTTTTTTGAGAAATAGTCTAGCTTAGTTGCCCAGGCGAGAGTGCAATGGCGCAATCTTGGCTCACTGCAACCTCTGCTTCCTGGGTTCAAGCAATTCTCATGCCTCACCCTCCCGAGTAGCTGGGATTACAGGTGCCTGCCACCATGCCCAGCTATTTTTTTTTCTTTTGAGAAAGAGTCTCCCTCTGTCGGCCAGGCTGGAGTGCAGTGGCACAATCTCGGCTCACTATAACCTCCATCTCCCGGCATATATTCACTGTTGGGATTTTGAAAAAATCAAAAGTACGGCCGGGCGCGGTGGCTCACGCCTGTAATCCCAGCACTTTGGGAGGCCAAGGCGGGTGGATCACGAGGTCAAGAGATCGAGACCATCCTGGTCAACATGGTGAAACCCCGTCTCTACTAAAAATACAAAACATTAGCTGGGCGTGGTGGAGTGTGCCTGTAATCCCAGCTACTCAGGAGGCTGAGGCAGGAGAATTGCCTGAACCCAGGAGGCAGAGGTTGCGGTGAGCCGAGATCGCGCCATTGCACTCCAGCCTGGGTAACAAGAGCGAAACTCTGTCTCAAAAAAAAAAAAAAAAAAAAAAAAAAAATCAAAAGTACATTTTCCACATGTTGAAAAAATTGAGTCCACACAGAAATCTATTAAATTAAAAGCAAAAAATTTTCTGGGTGCACAGGCTCAGCCTGTAATCCCAGCACTTTGGGAGGCCGAGGCAGGTGGATAACTCAAGGCTAGGAGTTCAAGACCAGCCTGGTCAACATGGTGAAACCCCATCTCTACTAAAAATACAAAAACTAATCTGGCATGGTGGCATGCACCTGCAATCCCCAGCTACCCAGGAGGCTGGGGCATGAGAAGCACTTGAACCTGGGAGGTGGAGGCTGCAGTGAGCCAGGATTGTACCACTGCACTCTAGCCTGGGTGACAGAGTAAGACTGTCTTAAAACAGAGAGACTCTGTCTCAAAAAAAAAAAAAAAAAAAAAAAAAAAAAAAAAAAAAAAAGTTATCTCTAACTGGGCACAGTGGCTCACGCCTGTAATCCAGCACTTTGGGAGGCCAAGGCGGGTGGATCACTCAAGGTCAGGCAGGAGTTCGAGGCCAGCCTGGCCAACATGGTGAAATCCCATCTCTACTAAAAATATATAAAAATAAGCTGGGCATGGTGGCGGGTCCCAGCTACTCAAGTTAATTATTATTTGGGGACAGAGTAGCACTCTTGTCACCAGGCTGGAGTGCAGTGGCATGATTTCAGCTCACTGCAACCTCCACCTCACAGGTTCAAGCGATTCTCCTGCCTCACCATCCTGAGTAGCTGGGATTACGGGCATGTGCCACTATGCCCAGCTAATTTTTATATTTTTAATAGATATGGGGTTTTTACCTTTTGTCCAGGATGGTCTTGACCTCTTGATCTTGTGATCTGCCCCCATCGGCCTACCAAAGTGCTAGGATTACAGGCGTGAGCCACCACCCCCGGCCCTCGGGTTAATTAAAAAAATTTTTCGGCCGGGCGCGGTGGCTCAAGCCTGTAATCCCAGCACTTTGGGAGGCCGAAGCGGGTGGATCACGAGGTCAACAGATCGAGACCATCCTGGTCAACATGGTAAAACCCCGTCTCTACTAAAAATACAAAAAATTAGCTGGGCATGGTGGCGCGTGCCTGTAATCCCAGCTACTCAGGAGGCTGAGGCAGGAGAATTGCTTGAACCCAGGAGGCGGAGGTTGCGGTGAGCCGAGATCGCGCCATTGCACTCCAGCCTGGGTAACAAGAGCGAAACTCCGTCTCAAAAAAAAAAAAAAAAAAAAAAAATTTCATATATGTATGTATATGATATATTTGCACGAGAAACTGCTATTTTGTTGCGAATGACTGAAGTCTTTTTCTTTCTTCTTCTTTTTTCTTTTTTTAAGACGGAGTTTTGCTCTTGTTACCCAGGCTGGAGTACAATGGCACGATCTCAACTCACCTCAACCTCTGCCTCCTGGGTTCAAGCAATTCTCCTGCCTTAGCCTCCCGAGTAGCTGAGACTACAGGCACGCGCCACCATGCCTAGCTAATTTTTGTATTTTTAGTAGACGGGGTTTTACCATGTTGACCAGATGGTCTCGATCTCTTGACCTCGCGATCCACCTGCCTCGGCCTCCCAAAGTGCTGGGACTATAGGCGTGAGTCACCGTGCCCGGCCTTCTTTTTTTTTTGTTTTTGTTTTTTTTTGAGTCAGAGTCTTGCTCTGTAGCCCAGGCTAGAGTGCAGTGTCCATCTGGTCTCACTGCAACCTCTGCCTCTGAGGTTCTCCTGCCTCAGCCTCCTGGGTAGCTGGGATTACAGGTATGTGCCACCATGCCCAGCTGATTTTTGTATACATACGTATTTTTTTTAGACAGGGTCTCACTCTGTTGCCTAGGCTGGAGTGCAGTGGTGTGATTATGGCTCATTACAGTGTCAACCTCTTGGTCTCAAGCAATCCTCCTACCTCAGCTGCCTAAGTAATTGGGACAACAGGTGTGTGTCTGGCCTTTTTTTTTTTTTTTTTTTTTTTTTTAGACAGAGTATTACTCTGTCACCCAGGCTGGAGTGCAGTGGTGCATTCTCAGCTCACTGCACCCTCCGCCTCCCGGACTCAAGCAATTCTCCTGCCTCAGCCTCCTGAATAGCTGAGCTTACAGGCACCCACCACCACACCAAGCTAATTTTTGTATTTTATTTATTTATTTTTAAGACGGAGTCTTGCTCTATCACCCACACTAGAGTGTACTGGCGTGATCTCAACTCACTACAACCTCTGCCTCCCAGGTTCAAGCAATTCTTAAATTTTTTAAATTTTTATTTTTAATTTTTTTTTTCTTTTTTTTTTTTTTTTCTTTGAGACAGAGTTTCGCCCTTGTTACCCAGGCTGGAGTGCAATGGCGCGATCTCGGCTCACCGCAACCTCCGCCTCCTGGGCTCAGGCAATTCTCCTGCCTCAGCCTCCGGAGTAGCTGGGATTACAGGCACGTGCCACCATGCCCAGCTAATTTTTTGCACTTTTAGTAGAGACGGGGTTTCACCATGTTGACCAGGATGGTCTCGATCTCTCGACCTCGTGATCCACCCGCCTCGGCCTCCCAAAGTGCTGGGATTACAGGCTTGAGCCACCGCGCCCGGCTTTATTTTTAATTTTTAAAAATTCTTTTTCTTTTTCTTTTTTTTTTTTTTTGAGACAGAGTTTCGCTCTTGTTACCCAGGCTGGAGTGCAATGGCGCGATCTCGGCTCACCGCAACCTCCACCTCCTGGGTTCAGGCAATTCTCCTGCCTCAGCCTCCTGAGTAGCTGGGATTACAGGCACGTGCCACCATGCCCAGCTAATTTTTTGTATTTTGAGTAGAGACGGGGTTTCACTATGTTGACCAGGATGGTCTCGATCTGTTGACCTCGTGATCCACCCGCCTCGGCCTCCCAAAGTGCTGGGATTACAGGCTTGAGCCACCGCGCCTGGCCTTTTTTTTTTTTTTAATAGAGACGGGGTCTTGCTATGTTGCCCAGGCTGGAGTGCAGTGGCTATTCACAGGCAAGATCCCATTACTTATCAGCACGGGAGTTTTGACCTGCTCTGTTTCCAACCTGGACTGGTTCACCCCTCCTTAGGCAACCTGGTGGTCCCCTGCTCCTGGGAGGTCACCATATTGATGCCGAACTTAGTGCGGACACCTGATCGCATAGCGCACTACAGCCCAGAACTCCTGGACTCAATAGATCCTCCAGCCTCAGCCTCCCAAATAGGTGGGACTATACAAACGCGCCACCGGTTCAAGCAATTCTTTGCTTCAGCCTCCTGAGTAGCTCAGACTACAGGCACGTGCACCATACCCTGCTAATTTTTTTGTATTTTTAGTAGAGATGGGGTTTCACCATCTTGGCCAGGCCGGTCTTGAACTCCTCACCTCATGATCCACCCACCTCAGCCTCCTAAAATGCTGCGATTACAGGCATGAGCCACAGCACCTGGACAATTTTTGTATTTTTAGAAGAGACGGGATTTCACTATGTTGGCTAGGATGGTCTCGATCTCTTGACCTCATGATCTGCCTGTCTTGGCCTCCCAAAGTCCTGGGATTATAGGCATGAGCCACTGCACCTGGTCTGTGCCTGACTAATTTTATTTTTTTTGTGGAGACGGGGGTCTCATTATGTTGCCCAGTCTCAAACTCCTGGGCTCAAGTGATCCTCTGCCTTGGCCTCCCAAAGTTCTGGGATTACAGGTGTGAGCCATCATACCCAGCCACTTGGGCATGTTTCCAGAATTTTATTTTTTGAAATGGAGTCTTGCTCTGTCCCCCAGGCTTGAGTGCAATGGTGCAATCTCGGCTTACTACAGCCCCCACCTCTAGGGTTCAAGCGATTCTCCTGCTTCAACCTCCTGAGTAGCTGGGAATATAGGTGCCTGCTATCATGCCCGGCTAATTTCCTTTTTTTTTTTTTTTTTTTTGAGATTGAGTTTTGCTCTTGTTGCCCAGACTGGAGTGCAATGGCATGACCTTGACTCTCTGTAACCTCTGCATCCTGAGTTCAAGCAATTCTCCTGCTTCAGCCTCCCGAGTAGCTGGGATTACAGGCATGTGCCACCATGCCTGGGTAATTCTGCACTTTTAGTAGAGACAGGGTTTCTCCATGTTGGTCAGGCTGGTCTCGAACTCCTGACCTCAGGAGATCCACCCACCTTGTCCTCCCAAAGTGCTGGGATTACAGGTGTGAGCCACTGCGCCTGGTCCATGCCAAGGTAATTTTTGTATTTTTTTTTAGCAGAGACTGGGTTTTGCCATGTTGGCCAGGCTGGTCTTGAACTCCTGGCCTCAAGCAATCCGCCCACCTCAGCCTCCCAAAGTGCTGGGATTACAGACATGAGACACCGCACCTGGCCAAAATTTTTCTATCATAAAAATTTCTATTGGCAAGTACATCTTCTTCTTTTTTTGAGACGGAGTTTTGCTCTTGTTGCCCAGGCTGGAGTGTGATGGCGTGATCTCGGCTCACCACAACCTCTGCCTCTTGGGTTCAAGTGATTCTCCCGCCACAGGCGTGATTCTCCTGCTACAGGCGTGATTCTCCTGCTAAAGGCGTGATTCTCCTGCTACAGGTGTGAGCCACTGCGCCCATTCTTAACTTTTCATATTATCGCATTGAGATTTACTTCATTTAGTTTAAAGGTGACTGCACAGGATGTCTGTACAATTTAACCAGCTAGGTTTTCTAGCTTTTTTACTTTTATCAACAATGCTTGCCAGGCATGGCGGCACACACCTGTAACTCCCAGCTACTCGAGTCTACAGGCCACTTATTGCTTGAGCCCAGGAGTTCAAGACTAGTCTGGGTAACATAGTGAGACCCTGTCTCAAAAAAAACACCTGTCCATGTGGTGGCTCACGCCTGTAATCCCCGCACTTTGGGAGGCCGAGGTGGGTGGATCGCCTGAGGTCAGGAGTTGAAGACCAGCCTGGCCAATATGGTGAAACCCCATCTCTACTGAAAATACAAAAATTAGCTGGGTGTGGTGGTGGGCACCTGTAATCCCAGCTACTCAGGAGGCTGAGGCAGGAGAATTTCTTGGACCCGGGAGGCAAAGGTTGCAGTAAGCTATCGTGCCACTGCACTCCAGCCTGGGAAACAAGAGCTCAATTCTGTCTCTAAATAAATAAATAAAAGCAATATTGTCACAAACATTCTTTTTTTTTTTTTTTTTTTTTTTGAGACGGAGTTTCGCTCTTGTTACCCAGGCTGGAGTGCAATGGCGCGATCTTGGCTCACCGCAACCTCCGCCTCCTGGGTTCAGGCAATTCTCCTGCCTCAGCCTCCTGAGTAGCTGGGATTACAGGCACGTGCCACCATGCCCAGCTAATTTTTTGTATTTTTAGTAGAGACGGGGTTTCACCATGTTGACCAGGATGGTCTCGATCTGTTGACCTCGTGATCCACCCGCCTCGGCCTCCCAAAGTGCTGGGATTACAGGCTTGAGTCACCGCGCCCGGCCATTGTCACAAACATTCTTATGTATGTACCTTCCAGTGCTTTTCCTAGTATGTACATGTAAGGTAAATTCCTATTTTTGCCAGTTCAACAGATACGTGAATTCAAATTTTGATAGATTTTATCTAACTGCCTTTGTAAACACGGCTGTATCAACCTAGACTCCTATTAAAATTACATGTGTTTTTGTTTCTTCACATCCTTGCTAGCTCTGGATATAACCTTTGAAACTTTAAAAAAAGGCTTCTCTTAATCCCATCTCAGACCATTTTAATCAGAATCTCCTAGGCTAAGAACTAGGCATCAGTATTTATTTATTTATTTATTTATTTATTTATTTATTTTTTTTTTTGAGACGGAGTTTTGCTCTTGTTACCCAGGCTGGAGTGCAATGGCGCGATCTCGGCTCACCGCAACCTCCGCCTCCTGGGTTCAGGCAATTCTCCTGCCTCAGCCTCCCGAGTAGCTGGGATTACAGGCACGCGCCACCACGCCCAGCTAATTTTTTGTATTTTTAGTAGAGACGGGATTTCACCATATTGACCAGGATGGTCTCGATCTTTTGACCTCGTGATCCACCCGCCTCGGCCTCCCAAAGTGCTGGGATTACAGGCTTGAGCCACCGCGCCAGCCCTATTTATTTATTTAAATTAAATTTTTTGGTAGAGATCGGGATCTTGCCATGTTGCCTAGGCTGGTCTCAAACTCCTGAGCTGAAGCGATCCACCTACCTTGGCCTCCCAAAGTGTTGGGATTACAGGCATGAGCCAATGCACCTAGCCCATTTTGTTTTGTTTTGGGACAGGGTCTTCCTCTCTCACCCAGGCTGGAATGCAGTGGTAGCATCACAGCTCGCTGCAGCCTTGATCTAGGCTCAAAGGATTCTTCTGCTTCAGCCTCCTGAGTAGGTGAGACTACAGGTATACAACACCACACCTGGCTAATTTTGCCCAGGCTGGCCTTGAACTCTGGGCTAAAGCAATCCTCTGCCTTGGCCTCCCAAAGTGCTGGGATTATAGGTGTGACTCACCATGGCAGGCTTGCATCAGCGTATTTTCAAAAGCTCATCAGGTAGAAATGATACGCAGCCCAGTCTTGTGAATCTTCTCATTCACTGATTCAACAAATACTGCACTACCAACTACATGATTAGTACAAAGCCAGGCAACAAATACTTGAATTCTTTTTTTGTTTTGAGATGGAGTCTTATTCGCTCTGTTGCCCAGGCTGGAGTGCAGTGGTGCAATCTTGGCTCACTGCAACCTCCACCTCCTGAGTAGTTGGGATTACAGGTGCCCGCGACCACGCCTGGCTAATTTTTTTTTCATTTTTAGTAGAGGTATTTTGCATTTTCACCATAATGGCCAGGCTGGTCTCGAACTCCTGACCTTGTGATCCACCTGCCTTGGCTTCCCAAAGTGCTGGGATTTCAGGCGTGAGCCACAGTGTTGAATTTTTTTTTTTTTTTGAGATGGAGTTTCGCTCGTTACCCAGGCTGGAGTGCAAAGGTGCGATCTCGGCTCACCGCAACCTCCGCCTCCTGGGTTCAGGCAATTCTCCTGCCTCAGCCTCCTGAGTAGCTGGGATTACAGGCACGCGCCACCATGCCCAGCTAATTTTTTGAATTTTTAGTAGCGACGGGGTTTCACCATGTTGACCAGGATGGTCTCAATCTCTTGACCTCGTGATCCACCTGTCTCGGCTTCCCAAAGTGTTGGGATCACAGGCGTGAGCCACTGCGCCCGGCCTGAATTCTTAATAAAAATAAAAAATAAAAACAAGCTTCAATTTTCCTCCAGAGAATGGGAAGCAGGGGACAATAAAAACCTAATCTAGTGGGCGCTAAGAGGCTGATTTCGTTTGCTTTGAGAACAAGGCTGCTTCTCCCCCTTTCCACATTTGTTTTCCTGTTTGACCAGCACCTAAAGAGATGCAGCAGAGTTGGGAGGTGGCTCAGGGAGGACAGTAGAGTGAAAGGTCAAGCTCAAAGGTAAAGAGAGGGGATAGTAGCAGATTACCTGTCGACCATCTTCTTAAGTCCCATGACCCTTTGAAAACTCTGCAAGAAAAGGTAGTTCTGTTGATCTGCCTCAGTCTCCAGAACCTCACCTCTAGAACCCTATTCTAATGAGAGACTTAGTCCTTTTTGAGAAAGAAAGCAGTCAATTTCCTAGGGGGGATAGGAAGAGGAAAGCTCTACTTCTTTCAGAATGATCTAAGAAAACATGCAGGGGTTGGATGCAGCACATATTTGAATACCTACTATGTACTAGACATAGCCTCCCACTCCTGTTACTAATTATAGTATACCCTTGTTACATCAAAAGCCTTTCCCAGTAAAAGATGCACTTATAGTAAATTGATCTGGAAACCTCATCAAACTTCAACCCAGCCCCTCCTTCCAACTCTGCATACCTCTTCTACTTTTGTCATCTTTTCCACAGACATGTTTATAGATTTGCTTGATATAGTCTGAGGAGACTTGACAGGCTCTTCTTTCTGTTTAGTTCAGTAACCGAGGTTTCAGTAGTCATAGCAACATTTACGCCTCCAACAATGACCCTGGGCCTAGGAGTTGATTGGCCACCTGGCCTGTTGCCCCAGAAACCTTGAGAGAATCCTTGTTCTGTAGACTTCTGCTGATGACACAGGCAATCCTATGAGCAAGAGTCACAGTCCCAGTTTTAGGATTTCTTCTGCTAGGGTCTCAAGGGATATCTGTATGGTCCTAGGTCCAGGGTATGCACACAGCACCACCAATTCTCTAGAGGCAAATCCTCATGCATGCCCTATGCTCTGTTAAAAATGTACAAATAACATATATGCCTGTTTTATTAAAAGACAACTGTGAAGGACTGATTCATGTTTTATTTTATAATAGTTCATTTTATTAAATAATTTATAAAGTCAGAACAGTGCATTGGCTTGTTAGGGGAAATCATTCCTTCCTTTTGTCTTATAGCCTGGCAGATTATGTCAGGTGCCAGAACATTCCCTTTGATTCAATTTATTTGTGAGTGTGGAATGAAAGTAGATAGATCCTTGCATGTCAGGAAAGCTGCAACACATCTGGTTTAAGTGGAGCACAAGGGTAAGTTGTTCCACATACCACCAACTTCCCCACTTGACCCTCCCACCAGTTCCTGTCTGTCTTTTCCATCAATCAACTCTGAGATGCCCTAAACCCAAACAGTTCCCATTCAACTGTGCACAAAGTTATAGATATGGAAGACATCTCACTCCAACTCTCACCTTTGGAATTAAATAAACCTGGAACAAGGCAGGTGAACTATGGCTGAAACCAAATAAAGATTTTTAAGAGGCTTTGACAGAAACATTAAGAATAACAACACCTGAATGCAAATGCAGAAAAAAGTGCTACTGGGGGAAAATAGTCTTAGCCAATGTTCTAAAAATGCCCATAAGGAAGGGTTAGGGAATTACCCTTTAGGCAGAAGCTCTAAGAACTCTGGATACAACAGGAACTTCAATGGATACAGTCTGGGGCGGCTGAGCCAGATGTTCCGAGGGCAGCCCGGCAAGCAGTCTGTCTTGCACATTGCAACTCACTGGCTTAACCTACGGCAAAGGTCCTTCAGCTCCATCACAGAGTACTCTCCAATGTGTTATAGTTGTCCTTAAAGCTCTTCAATTCAAGGAAGTGCTTGGCACGTTTACTCTTCTGACTGGAGGGGAGGTATGTCACTTGGATGGTTGTTGGAGAGACTTCGGGGGACTGAGTTAGGTCTTTGGCTGCTGACTGGTGTTGTCGCTGAGAGCTCCCAATTCGTGCTTTGACTCTGAAGAGAGAGAGGAGGTCATTGACAGAATCAGGACTAATCAAAGAATTCAGGGGCTTATCCAGGTCATAAATGCAGCAATAGCCACAAATGTTACTTGTGTCTTGTGTCCTATTTTGTAAACTAGTTACTAAAACCCCAACTAGTAGCTGAGAAGTAGCTGAGAGGCTGGGTGTGGTGGCTCATGCCTGTAATCCCAGCTCTTTGGGAGGCCAAGGCAGGTGGATTGCTTGAGGTCAGGAGTTCGAGACCAGCCTAGCCAACATGGTGAAACCGTCTCTACTAAAAGTACAATAATTAGCTGGGTGTGGTGGTGGGTGCCTGTAATCCCAGCTACTCGGGAGGCTGAGGCAGGAGAACTGCTTGAACCCAGTAGGTGGAGGTTGCAGTGAGCTGAGATCATGCTACTGCACTCCAGCGTGGATGACAGAGCGAGGCTCCATCTCAAAGGGCGGTGGGGGAAGAAGTAGCAGAGAGGCTGGGCATGGTCACTTATACCTGTAATCCCAGCACTGTGGAAGGCTGACGTCAGAGATTGCTTGAGTGCAGGAGAGTCTGACACGTCTAGGAAACAAAGAGAGCCTCCATCTCTACAAAAAATTAGCCAGCTGTGGTGGCAAGCACCTGTAGTCCTGGCTCCTCAGGAGGCTGAGGCAGGAGGATTGCTTGAGCCCAGAATTCGAGGCTGCAGTGAGCCATGACTGTGCCACTGCACTCCAGCCTGGGCAAAAGAGTGAGACCCTGTCTCTCTCTCTCTCTCTCTCACACACACACATACACCCTAAAAAAGTAGAAGTCCAGCCTGGGTGACAGAATAGAGGCCCTGTTTGGGTGCCCTGACACACACCCACCCACACCAAAAATAATTAGCATCAGAGAAATGAATTTCCCAGAGTCCTTGCCTCTGGCTCAAGCCTTTTTTTTGAGACAGAGCCTTGCTCTGTCACCCAGGCTGGAGTGCAGTGGCACGACCTGGGCTCAGTGCAACCTCCACCTCCGAGGTTCAAGCTATTCTCCTGCCTCAGCCTCCTGAGTAGCCAGAACTACAGGCATGGACCACCACGCCCGGCTAATTTTTGTATTATTAGCAGCGATGGGGTTTCACCGTATTAGGCAGGCCGGTCTCAAACTCTTGACCTCATGATCCACCCGCCTCAGCCTCTCAAAGTGCTGGGGATTAAAGGTATGAGCTACTGTGCCTGGTACAAGCTTTTTTTTTGAGAGAATATGTATTCCCCATACAGGTTATCACGTTGTTTTGCTGGTTAGGAAACTAAGGGTCCAATAATTAGCTTGCATGAGTTCACAAAACTAGTAAGTGACAGATCTGGGATTCAAATGTAAGTCTGTCAGATTTCAAAGCCTATATATACTCTTCCCTATACCCACTAAGCATTCCTAGAAACTACAAATCAAACATTTCTTTTTGTTTTTGAGATGGAGTCTTGCTCTGTTGCCCAGGCTGGAGTGCAGTGGCGTGATCTTGGCTCACTGCAACCTCTGCCTCCCAGGTTTAAGCAATTCTCCTGCCTCAGCCTCCTGAGTAGCTGGGATTACAGGTGCTCACCACAATGCCCAGCTAATTTTTGTGTTTTTAGTAGAAACAGGTTTTGGCGTGTTGGCCAGGCTGGTCTCGAACTTCTGACCTAAGGTGATCCACCAGCCTTGGCCTCCTAAAGTGCTGGAGTTACAGGTGTAAGCCATCATGCCTGGCCTTCAAAAATAATTTTTTAAAAATTGTGGTAAAATACACGTAATATAAAATTTACCATCGTAAGCATTTTAAAATGTATAGTTCAGTATTTTTTTTTAAAGAAGGAATCTTGCTCTGTCGCCAAGATGGAGTGCAGTGGTGCGATCTTGACTCTCTGCAACCTCTGCCTCCCTGGTTTAAGCAATTCTCCTGCCTCAACCCTCTCGAGTAGCTGGGACTATAGTTGCACACCACCATGCCCAGCTAATTTTTGTATTTTTAGTTGAGACGGGGTTTCACCATGTTGGCCAGGGTGGTCTTGATTGACTGACCTCATGATCCACCCACCTCGGCCTCTCTAAGTGATGGGATTACAGGCATGAGCCACTGTGCACAGCCGCAGTCAGTAGCGTTAAGTATATTTAGTGTTTTGCAACCAACCTCCAGAACACTTTTCATCTTGCAAAACTGAAACTATACCCGCTGAACAATTCCCTATTTTCCCCTCTCCAGCTCCTGCAACTATCATTCTACTTACTGTCTCTTGAGTTTGACTACCTAGGTATCTCATATAACTGGAATCACTCAGTATTTATCTTTCAAAGACAGTGAATTTTTAACAAGCTTCTGCTGACTTTTAGACCAAATGCCCTTTTTCAGCCGCTCTATATGTTCATTTTCATTCGTGCTCTAAGCAATTTTTTTGTTTTTGTTTTTTTTTTTTTGAGATAGTGTCTTACTCTGTTGCCCAAGTTAGAGTGCAGTGGCATGATCTTGGCTCACTGCAACTTCTGCCTCCTAGGTACAAGTGATTCTCGCACCTCAGCTTTTGAGTAGGTGGGACTACAGTCGCATGCCACCACTTCCAGCTAATTTTTATATTTCTAGTAGAGACAGGGTTTTGCCATGTTGCCCAGGTTGGTCTCAAACTCCTGGGCTCAAGTAATCTCTCCACTTCAGCCCCACAAAGTGTTGGGATTAAAAGTATGAGCCACTGTGCCTGGCCTTCTAAGCAGTTTTTACTAGGACCTTTCATCTTTTTATTGAGACAGACTCTTGCTCTATCACCCAGGCTGGAGGACAGTGACATGATCTTGGCTTACTGCAACCTCTGCCTCTCGGGTTCAAGCAATTCTCCTGCCTCAGCCTCTGGAGTTATCTGGGATTACACGTACTTGCCACCATGCCAGCCTAATTTTTGTATTTTTAGTAGAGATGGGGTTTTGCCATGTTGGCCACACTGGTCTCCAACTCCTGGCCTCAAGTGATCTGCCCACCTTGGCCTCCCGAAGTGTGCTGGGCTTACAGGCATGAGCCACTGCTCCAGGCCGTGGACGGTTCATTTTTTCAAACAAGGTAGCTCATTTTTAGGGACAAAGAGAAGAGACATACCCCTTATCTCTTGAGAAAGAGGTAATATTCAACACAATAGAAAACATGTTAATTCTTTTGATGGCTGGTAATAACTTTTTACTTACTTATTATTTTTGAGATGGAGTTTCACTCTTTCGCCCAAGCTGGAGCGCAATGGCGCAATCTCAGCTCACTGCAACCTCTGCCTTCCGGTTTCAAGCGATTGTCCTGCCTCAGCCTCCCAAGTAGCTGGGATTACAGGAACCTGTGACCACGCCCAGCTAATTTTTTTATTTTTAGTAGAGATGGGGTTTCACCATGCTGGTCAGGCTGGTCTTGAACTCCTGACCTCATGATCCGCCCACCTCAGCCTCCCAAAGTGCTGTGATTACTGGCATGAGCCACCGTGCCTGGCCTACTTAGTTTTTTTGAGGTGGAGTCTTACTCTGTTGCCCATGCTGGTATGCAATGGTGTGATCTTGGCTCATTGCAACCTCCACTTCCTGGGTTCAAGCAATTCTCCTGCCTTAGCCTCCTGAGTGGCTGGCATTACAGGCACTTGCCATCAAGCCTGGCTAATTTTATTTTTGTAGAGATGGGGTTTCGCCAAGTTGGTCAGGCTGGTCTGACCTCAGGTGATCCACCCGCCTTGGCCTCCCAAAGTGCTGAGATTATAAGTGTGAGCCACTACGCCCGGCCTAAGATTTTATTCTAGATTGGCTT